GTATGGTTTTTACATATTTTTATTTAGTCTTTTAAGAAGGCCCAGAATATTTTCATGGTAGATTTTGGTTGTGCAGAGGCCACTTTTTAATGAGAGAGCAGCGGCTTATGACATTAGTTTTTGTGCTGTTAGCATGAAGATGTTTATTATGGAAGACTCATTTGAAAGTGACTTTTTTTCTAATCCCAGTAAGGGAGTGATTTAAGATTATTCTATTATAATTTGCCACACAGACTACACTTAGGCTGAGAAAATGTCAGTGATGGTGGTGAGAGGAAAATATAAAATAAGCAATTGTGAAAATTAATTGAACAGAGAATGCACTCATTTGCAACTTAGAAGGACTGGCAAGGAGAGTCTTAAAGTTAATAAAGTAAAACTTCATTCCCGAGTGTGAATGATGCTGAAAACTTCAGATGTCTAAAATGAATGATGAAGGCAAGTCAGTTAGTTTCCACAAGAGTATTATTCCAAAATATTGTTCTATATTGTATCATTTCTAAAATACCCAGTGATCAATCTTGGAAAAGCGCACAATTATCCGATTTATTAGAGGAAAACTTTTTAAAGCAACACACGAATGAAGCGTCCCTGATGTCAAGAGATAAACGTCCTTTAGGAAATTTGAAGTCAGTCCATGTGATGTTTCCATGGACGTTGTTTTCACCTGAACACCACCTTGCACATTTGTGAACGATGCTGTGTTCGCGTTGACATAGTCCTTCAGAACTGGGAATTCTGATGGTCAGAGGGTGGGGGAAAAGATAGGAAAGTCAGACGTTTGTTCCACTTTTTGCTAATGTGTCACCACATTTGTAGTTCTATTTCATCCATGTTAAATAAAATCACATAAAAATAACACAGCAGGTAAACCCCCGTCTTTTCATTTTAAGGAAGAAACTGACTTTCTTGATGGTGGATTGTGTACAGGGTGTACCCTCTTGCTTGGTGTGTTCACCCACTTCCCCAGATGGCTTTGAGAAGCAGTATATATAGAAAGCTTAAGAACACGATGAGGTTTGCACGGAGAAATTGTGTATTTAGTAAGCACGAGATGAGATTTAGAAGGACGGGTTTCATGCAGATTTTAACCTTTCTTTCTCAGTATCAAATCCTTTGCTGTTCACCTTGACTTCTAGGTGCTCTTGAGCCGTTAGTACAAATCATTTACGAAATGATTTGCTATTGAACACAGTCGTCTCTTGGTGGGCCAGCTTTGAATGACTCATTATTTATGAGTCAGTCTCAGCCGCAGGCTAGGTTTTCCCTGTCCCACCGTGGTCTTTTGGTTTGGGCCCTTTAGGAAGAGAAAGCTGATGATTATAAAGTCTGCCCAAGTCAACAGGCAACCCACATGCGGATCTGCCACCCAGAGGAAAGGAGAGGCTCGACACCCAGAGCCTTGGTGAGTGGGACCGGCCGTGGGCGGCCGCTGGCCCTGCCGTCGGCCGCTGAAGGCGGCTGTGTTTAGAGACCGCGATTAAATATTGCGCTTTGTACTGACTCCTGCTGAAGTTTAAAACAACCTCCTTTGCCTACTAGAGAGCCCAGAGAAATAACGGTTGTGAGAAAGACAGGGAGGGTCCTGGCGGCCTCGTGACGTGACTGTGACTTTGTCTCTCCTGGAAGCTGAGCGCAGCCCACCCGCCTGCAGCCGCGCCCTCCTCTCTGAGGCCCTGCCCGCCGCGCGGAGCGCCCCGCTCCTCCTGCCTGGCGTCTGCACGCTCTTCCCCGGGCCCTCTCACTCCTCTTGCTCTCACGGGCTGCCAGGTACTGTCACGCCGCCTCGTGTGCCCCTTCCCCGGCTTCTCTCGCCGCCCCGGGCCCTGCTTCCTCTGTTCACACCCCCACCCCCGCATGGCATGTGTGCCTGGCGTCGCACTTGGTGTTTGGTTTCCATGGGTGTCCGTTGTTTTGATGTAGTTAGAAGCTTAGCAGCAATTAGATGGTCAAGAAAAATTTCTGTAACACTGCTGGTCCCTGCGTTCGCAGCTGAGGACAGAGGACAGTGTGTCCGTAGTTCTTGAGGGGAGAACGGTGCTGCCTGCCTAGCGTGCCTTCTATGCAGAGCCCT